TTTCCCTCAGGTCTCTCTACGCTAGGCGATGAGATGCCTCAATATACCAGGAGCGTAACCACAGCTAGTGGCTCACAGAGTGGGTGGAATGCTACTAAGAGGGGATGGAATGCTAAGAAGGTAGTCCATGTTGGAGATTGGTGTCCGTGTGGTCACTTTGGTGTTCTTAGGATCGCTCCAAAATTCTCGGCCGAGCAATGACTCATCAGGTCGGCTCTAACTACGACAGAGAGCTCCATTGGCTCAAGCCGTAATGATGCCTGCCTGTCGGTTGCTTGGTCAGAGTGGTGGTGCAGGTATTATCCTTCTGGAAAGGGCGAAAACGACATTGAGGAGGAGGAGAGTTGGATCCCTGATTGGGTTATGTATTTCCCATCTATGTTCTCAAGGTACATTCACTTGAAAGTTTCTCCTCTTCAGTCGATGCCCGCTTGTTCATTAGTTTCTTGCACGTCATAGTAAACGAGTTCCCATGGTTGATGCACGAGGCAGGCATTCTGCTGAAGTTTTTCGGCACTGGCTTCCAGGCGTAGTCGCTCCGCTTCGCTCAATGCATATTTTGCCACGTTTGAGTTCAGGTATATCATGTTTATGCGTCTCATCGTCTTTGCCATCCTCATCATGCCAGCTGTGGTGAAGGTTGGTAGCTGGTGGACACTTAGTCCTAATGTAATTTCAACTGTGAATCTTTCGTAGTGCGTAGGAGCTACTACCATCTCAGGTGCTCCGTGGAATACGGTATGGGCCAAATGGTCGTAACCAGTTGGATATCTATCTCCCAGCTGATTACTACTTGGACCCTCCAGAGAAGCGTCGTCAGAAAAAGCTCCCCATTGTTATCAATGTGATGGGCGGTGCTTGGGTGATCGGGTAAGTATCCTTTTCCCTGCTAAAGTCTCATTCTATGGTGAAAGGTTCCGCGCATGGTCGGCGTGTATGGGCCGACGTCTTGCCTTTGAGAGAGGCGCCCTCTTTGTGGCCCCCGACTACCGGAATTTCCCACAGGGCAAGATAGATGACATGGTCGAAGATGTCAACAACTGCATAAAGTAGTATCAGCATAGTTCATTTGGATGGCTTATCCCTTGCTCTCAGTTGGGTGTTCGAAAATGCCGATCGTTATGGTGGTGACATTTCCAAATGTGATTCTCACAGGCCA